TAATATATGACTGCTCATGACTTACCTTGCTTTAAATGTTTCATAAGCGAATTATATAAAAATTCTTTTTTCCTCAATAATTAGTTATACAATTACAAAGAGTCAGTTTGGAATTATTTTTTTTTTCTTTTTAGTTGTTGAATAATTGTTACTAGTTTTATCGATGGACCTGATTAACTCGAGACATAAGCTTGACTTGATATTAGTCTAGACCGGGTTGGATGTATCATGAGTTTTGAGAACATAATTTTAAATCCCACGCCTTTGATCAGCATTTTCACTGGAGAGAAGAAATGATTAAAATTGAATTCCTTAAATTTGTAACTTCACAATGAAATTTAAAGTTAAAATCATATGATCTCAAACTTTACATGATTTTGATTTTCCTTTTTGTTTGTTACTGTCAACAATCTTCTTCCCCATCTGATTGGAATAAGCAATAGCGTTGCACTGTAAAGTTTAAAATGAAATAATTCCTACAGAAAAGTGCTTGATGAGAATTTTAATTTTTAGATTCAACTTCTCAATAAGTACTCCATATTCTCCATTTGACATGTGTATTTCACTTCAAAATATGATTTAGTCAAGGCTTTTTATTTTTAAATGAGATATTCTTAATTGCCATATCATAGCTTCAACAAAATAAAATATCTGAACCAAGCTTTTAAAACCTGAACTAACTCAAATGGTCATACTAGTTGGACTGTTGCCTACAAAAGAAAGTGAGTTAGTTCAATCAATCAATTTATATTAGTAGTTGGCTCACCTCAAACTAAACAGTTTTGTAAGACTTGAAGCTCAAAACAGGTTTTTGTGGGTCAAAAACAAGTCTTAGAAGGGCAAAATTAGTATTTTAGAAATCTTAAACTCTTTAATTCATTTATGAGGCAATCAAGGCGTGTCCTCATTCTTAGTCTCCAGTTTCACTCTTCTCCTCTTCTCATTTCTCTTTCAATCTTGCCACACATTCTCACCTTCTCACCTTCTCAATTCACTCTTCAATCTTTACCATTCACCCTCACGCTAGGGCATAGCTATCAAATAGCTTCAAGCTTGGCCGCCTTCTTCATTCTTCATCTTCACTTTTCTCTTGGTCTCGTTAGTCGCTTCATGTTCTCAGTTCACTCTTCACTCCAACGCAAGCATGTAGCTAGGGGCAGAGCCATGAATTTTTACTAAAGAGGGTCAGGATAAAAAAATATATATGATATTTAAATAAAAGTTATATATATATATATATATCATGGACATAATATAAATATTTTAACATATATATTTATTTTTAATTTTACACATATATAACAATATATATATATATATATATAAAGTTTTGCTCATTGATTTTTTATGAGATAAAAATTATTAGTTATTATGTCTATAATAAATGTTTTGATAATTTCCTTTTCAATATAAATTATCATTAAATTGGTAAAAATTTTATCATCCCTATGAACATTAAATGATTTAAATACATCATTGGAATCTAAATTTCTGTTTAATATAATAAACTATATTATTTACTTATTGAATTTACTATTTAATTCTTTCAATTGATAATCATAGTAAATACATATATTAACACATTAATAATGTTTAATTGTCATAAAATTTTTATGTCAATGAGATTGAATTATATCAAAGTAAAAACTATTTATATCATAAATTTTAATAGCTTGATTATTTAAAAAAAGTAATTTTTTTTAGAAGAAAATCTTCACCAACCCTCTTAACTTTTGGATAAGTGATTTTATGATAAATATCAAACACATATCATTCAATATATTTTAGGATTTTTGTTGCGATGCTTAACAAATTTTGTTAATAATAATTTTTAAAATTTCTTTCATCAAATATAAAATGGGAGCAAAATAAAATGACACCAATACTTTAAGAACATGTATAATATTATCTTGTTGAAAATAAGTATATCTTATCACAATTATATCTTCAAATTATTGAAATAGTTACTTTATATATACATAAAAGACTATATACAAAATTAAAATGAGAATTATATAAAATTAAAATAAGAATTCTATCCAATATTTCATAATTTCTATAATATATTAACTTATAAGAGCTAAAAATATATAACTTTTATGTTTTACAAAGAAAAAATTAAAAAATTTGGGGGGGGGGTCGTGGCTCTTGCGAGTCCCCCCTTTCTCCATTCTTGCGTACAGCTATCAAAATAGTCAAACGATGTTGAGCTCAGCCTTCTTCTTCATTCCTCATCTTCTTCATTGATCACTCTCTCTCAATCCCAGTGAGATTTATCTCTCTCCCTCATTTATCTCTCTCCCTAATTTAATCTAATCTCCACAGTCATAAAAGAGCTCCAAACAAAGGATTGCCCTTTTTATTTTATGTTTTCTCTCTCTAATCATAGTCTTGAATAGCTGATCTTGTTTTTTTGTTGTCTAAGAGTGTTTTTTTTGGCAAAATAGGGGTTTTATTTTTTTCAAGTGATGATGTCTAATGCACACAAGAGTTTGCTCTGTATTGGCGGAAGATTATGGTGTTTTAATTTGTTGTATTAATGACTTGACCACTAATAAGAATATATTATGGTATTTTTGTTGTATTAATGATTTGGGTGTTGTTGTATTATTGCACTTTGTTTCTCATATTTATAGCTATATACGTATAAATATGATTTTTTTATTTAATTATTAGATTACTTGTTCAACTATCAATTTGATCAGTTGAACCATGACACCTTATAACCTGTTGATATTTCCAATTTGCTATCTAGTATGGGTATTAAAACATTTATCTCAGTAACTTCTCATTGTGTTCGATTTTGGTGCTCATCATGTGAAGTGATGAGCAATCTAGACCATTTAGATTTTTAACCTAGACGGTCTAGATTTACAAGTTCTATTTTTATATTTTATTTTATATTTATTAAAATAAAAATTATAAAGTACAATAAATTTACTCTATCATCAATCTGTATAATGTAGATTTAATCTAAATAATTTAATTTAATATTAAATGACTTTATAATTTTTTTTATAAATTGACAATTCATATGTACTTTGGACCAATATTTTTAAAATCGAACTGAATATTGAGCTAGAAAGATTAACAGTTCATGGTTTGTATGGTCTAATCAGGTTGGACTAATGGTCGAGTTAGTGACATAATATTTAATAAAAAAATTATATATGTATATAATAATTAAAATATAAAAACTAAATATGAAATTGCTACTTAACTTAAAAATAAAATTAAATATTTTAAGTTTATGATGATTTAACAAGCTATATGATACAACATAACAGCAATTATTAAAAAAATTATCAATTTTTTTAAAAAAGAAAAAGGACATTTTTTTAACAGTCCAATTTTTAAAAATTGAATCCGAGTCCTAACTTGATCCCCATTATCAATCCGACCATCGGTCCAAAGCAATCCAATCCAACTCAACTCCCTAAACAATTTTTTGGCTCAATCGAGTTTTTAGCTTGACTGATATATGGTTCAACCGATCTAATTGTCAGGTTTAGTTCAGTTTTTTAATCATTACTTTGGACATTTTAAAATTTAAAATTTGAAGTTGTAACTTTTTCTTAATTTTTTTTTAAGTGCTAGTTTGAAAATTATCTTTATTTTTTTAATATCATATTTACTAAAATAAAAATTCTAAAAATTCTAAAAAAAGTTTAATGTTAAATCTAGACAGTCCATAATAGATCTAAATATAATTTTTTTAAAAAATAATAATATTAAATTATAGATTTATTAAAAATTTATAATTTTTATAATAAATATAAAATAAAAATCTTAAAATCTAATCCTGATGGTCCATCACTGAAGCCAAACGCCATCTCATTCTATATTTGCGGTGTGTGATTGCATTTATATATAAATTAATGAGTGGTTCTCAAAAAGAGGCCGGTATCATAATCAACTTTATAAATTATAATATTGAAATTATTTCGTCCTGAAAAGTAAGGGGGAAGAAAGAAACAAATGTATGAGCTCCACTAAATTAAACAATTTATTTAAATAGCCACGTTTCAAACTTCTAATAATTTGATGCTTTCCTGATTATTAAATTATATCAATCAAAAGTAAGGATAAAAATGAGCATGGAAATGTTGTTTTTATCATGCCTTCAAACTGTGTGGGCAGACTAAGGTTGGCTCACCAACCTGACACACACAGACACACACATCTTTCCTGTCTTACAGTAATTAATTCATAAATATTACCAATATATATTATCTGCATTGTTTATAAGTTAAAAATAATGTAGTATTTTTTTTTTTAAGTTATGGCAGACCATTAAGATCCTAACATTTAAATTTATTTGCAATAATAAGTATACGGGTGTTTTTTAGTTAGAAATGTAGCATAAGAAAAACAAAGAAATCAAAGAACATACACTTTTGGAAGTGTTACTCTGAACTAATTAACAGTTAGATTTGTTTTAATCATGTTTTATGTCATTAACTTTTCTAAATATCATGGCAGAACTCTTTTTATCTAAATTTTTTATCAGTAAAATTTGATCATATTCTAGTTAAAAAAATTATGTGCGAAATAATATCACCTCCTTTATAATTTATAAGATATTTTTAGACATAACTATATATATCAATAATGTTCATCAAATATATTTTATAACCTTTTTTTAATAATGATCTTTTTTTTAATAGTCCATTTGTAAATAATATTAAGGGAAAATAGAATATAATGAAAATGGTAAAATTAAAAAAAAATCAAACTATCTTATATTTTAAAAAAATATTTTATTTATTAATATTTTATAAATTAAGAGAGAGGTAGTATGCTACATAAATGATATGAAATCCAATTAACGAAGTTAAACAGTGCCGAGAAAAGATCAATGAGGAAGAAAAAGAAATTGAGAGTAATTATTAGATGGCATTCAAATTCAATGATTAATTAATTAATTTAGGCCAAAAAAATGATTAATTAATTAATACTTCCACACATGCGGAAGGAACGTCCACGCTATCGACCATTAATATTTTGCCGCGTAATGAATTTCTTAATGATCGTTTGCCGACAGGTAGTATCTCCCTCTCTCTTGTCTGCTTGCGGTCAGAACGTAGTCTTTTTCGCGGCGAGTAAATTCGCCGACTAGTAGAAAATATACTACAAGTCTACCACTATATATAAATTTCTTCCGTCGAAGGAAGGAGAAAGGATTACTTCATGTGAAAGACTAGTCATGGTTTACGACGCCGTCTCGCTTGCAATCGGTAACACCTCCACCGGCATCTACAACCTCGGCTTCTATTTATCGGAGCACCCGGCGATCGTCAATTTCCGGTGGAGCCACGCCCATTTATGGGGCTCCACATGGCTGTTCCTCTTCTCCTCCATCGCCGCGTATCTCTTCGTCTCCCTCTTTGTCCATCTATCTCTGGCATTACTCCTCCGACCGACCAGGACAGTTCCCCTCGGGCCCATACCTGCTCTTCATAGCCTATTCATGTCCCTCATCTCCGTGACTATTTTCGCCGGGATATTACTCTCCGCTGCCGCCGAGATCAGAGACACCCGATGGTTCTGGAGACGCTCCAAGACCCCATTCCAATGGCTGCTCTGTTTTCCAATGGGCACTCGACCCTCGGGACGGGTCTTCTTCTGGTCATACGTGTACTACCTGTCTCGATTTTTGCACATGGGGAGGACGATCTTCGCCATCCTACGACGTCGTAAACTAGTGGTGTTCCAGCTGTTCAATCAGTCGATCTCAATCTTCATGTCATTCCTGTGGCTGGAATTCTCGCAGTCGTTTCAAGTGGCAGCGATCCTGGTGACGACGCTGGTGCATTCGGTGGTGTACGGATACAGATTCTGGACGGCGATGGGGCTGAGGAGAGCGTGCTTTCCGCTGGTGTTGAATTGCCAAGCTGCGTTGGTGGGTTGCAACGTGGCGTGCCACGTCGGAGTCGTGCTGCTTCACTTCTTCCGCGGCGGATGCAACGGCATCGGATCCTGGATTTTTAATTCGGTGCTGAACGTTGGTGTTCTGTTGGTGTTTGTGAATTTTTACGTGAGGTTACAGGCCAGTGCCCGGAAAAGTGGCGAGTCCACGCCTCGTTCCTGTGGTCATCAAAGGGTGGCTACCAGTGACGCGGAAACCGACAATTAGTTGAAATTTTGAGCTTCAACCCATAGTGTATGCTTTTCTTGGCTAATTGTATTTGATGGAGTAAATATAAACTACCACACGGTGAAGATTTTTTGGGTTATGACGATAATTTTTAGTTCAAGGAGCATAAAATTGGTGTTACATTAGATCTGTAGTCCCATGGAAAGTGGGGATGAATCAATAAGTAGAGTGTTTTTTCACTAGTGGTGGATGTTCATGACAAGAAGTGGCGGAGCGATCACCAGAATTTGCATTAAATCATTTAATGGGTTGGTGATTGGTGAATGATGCTCTCTTCGTAAAGTGGAATGATGATACACTAATTATCGAAAATAAATGCTGCGTCTAGCATGGTGTAGATTTTTAGAACAAGGATTCAACTCGTGGACCCAAACATGGAAAGTGGTCACAATGGTTGGATGATCTGTAAGTCTCTAAGTCATAGTTCAAGGCCCAATGAAATCTCTGAGGCCCATGGGAGGCTATTTGCTTGCTCGTGAGAAACACCATCATTACATTATACCAAAAAAAGACCACGATTGAATTAAATGGTTAAGGAAAGGGAGGAGCAAATTTTGTTTGGTAAAAAGGAGGGCCGAGCCCAAAATTATATTAACTAAGGAGTTGAAGAAAGTAGGATGGGACAACATATAGTTTGAGTGGGTTGAAGTTGAAAAGAAGGGCCTTCTAGGCCCATAGCCCACTGCACCGTTTCCCCCTTCAACTTCAAATGGAGTGCACACCAAATACAGCTTATGCAAGCTGAGGGCCTGTGAGACCAAATAATAGTGAGGTTGAAGGGCGGATTGGAATTGAGATTCAGGTTGTAATTGCATTGTTTTTGAAGAATTTCACTAAAGTTCCTTCGGTATGACATAATTTTAATTGCATTTAAAAAAATTTTAAAATTTTACTACAGGTCTGGAGCACTGAAATAAAATAAATTTTCTCACTTGAATGATCAAAATGCCCTTCAATTATAATTAATAAAATATTAATTAGCAATATAACAAATCAAGTCACAAGTTTTACAAGTAATATTAATTAATAAAATAAATGAAACTTTTTATTATTTTCATAATATTACTTATAAAAATGGTAATTTAACGTGATATTCTAATAATATTACTTTTAAATATCATAACTTAACTTGTTATTATAATAATGTAACTTGTAAAAATTATAACTTTACCTTATTATTTTACCAATATTACTTGCAAAAACTATAACTTGACTTATTAATATAATATTGTTATTTGTAAAAACTATAATTTGATTTGTGATTCTAGTAATATTACTTTGTAAAAACTATAATTTAATTTATTATTTTAATAATGTTAATTATAATTAAAAGATATTTTAATCATTCAAGCAAGAAAATTTATTTCATTTCAATGCTCTAGGCCTACAGAAAAATTTTAAAATTTTTTGGGATCTAATTTAATTGTATCACATTCAAAGGATTTTAATGAAGTGCTCCCCATTATTTTTGTTTAACCAACTGGTTGTAAATGTATTGTTAAGACTCAAGACTTGAGGGAATATACAATACTACTATATTATCAACATAATTAAATCTCTAAAGACACGTGCCTGGTGCCTGCCGTTGACAAAAATCACCGTCAGAGAAGGGGGCGGCAGGCATAATCAACGTTATACATTATTGGCTGCGGGATTGGCTTCACTTTCTGTATAAAAATATAAAATATTTTTAAATTTAATTTTTTTAATAAAATACTTATTTATTTTTTAACTAATCATATTTTTTTATATTTATCCTATTAAATATTTTATAATAAATATAAAATTATTATTGATAGAGATATTTTAAAAAAATAATGATTACACCTTGAAAAAATAAAAATATCTTGCATTTTTACAATTCAACTTCTCAAAAAATACTTTATATTTTTAAATGAACAGAATATTTTCTAACTTTTTGTTTGATTTTTGGCAGACTTATTATCGAGTTAAATAGAAACGGTAATTTAAGTCAAGCTAAATAAAGTATTAATTGTTTTAATGCTCAAGTTGGTCCAAATATGTTCAAAAAAATTCTGGCCAAAACTGAATACTCTAATAATTTTTAAAAATATATAAAATATAATAAATATTATTCAAATATCTAATTTTTATATTATGTTATATTAAAATATTATATATTTAAGCATATTACTACAGTTATTTTTTTAAGTATTTACATGTTCATATTTTTAGTATTTTTAGTTAATGAGATATTTTAAAATAACATTTTAAAAATATTTTAATGTTTATTTTTACATTTCAAGACCCTCATTTTTTTAAAATTTTTTTTAAATCTTATACATCATTTAAGTATAAAACATATATTTTATATTTGTATAAAATAAAATAATTAATTTTAGAGTAAAAAAAATTAAAAAAATTAAAAATAAAATTCAGGTATGTACAAATTTTCTATTTTACTACTAAATAAATATAATAAATATAAAAATATTTTTATTAATTATTTGATAATCATTCACGCCATACTTAGTTAAAAATTAAGAATAAATTAAAACAAATACATATTATATGTACGGGATAAATAATATAAAAATTTAAAAAAAATAATTTCAGAAAAAAGGTTATTTTACTCATAATTAAATGAATTTTGTTTTATATAATATAACTATGACTATTTTTCTTCTATTCTTAAAAATAAAAAGTACAATTTATTTAAAAGTTATTGGAAGCTTTAAACAAATTGAAGAAATAATTTTAAATTAGTTTAACCATGATTGAATTGAGGTCAACCTGATCATAATTAAAATAATAAATTTTAATTAAAATATATAAATATTTATACATAACTATGGTAAAAGCAATATTTAAATAACTAAAAAATTGATTTACAAGTAAAAGAAATGTGAAAAAATTAGTCATTTAATTCTTGTAGTTTTGATCTAATTGTAATTCAGTTCTTAAATTTTAACTCGCTATAATTCAGTTTCTCAAATTTTGGCTTGATTGTAAATCAGTTCTTGAATTTTATTTCTTACAATTTAATCCCTGAAATTTTAACTTCTTAAATATTGACCTCTATATTTTAAAAAAATAAAATATAAAGAGTAAAAATATTTTTAACTTTTAATATTTATAAAGATTAAAAGAATTTAGTAATTTAAGATATTATTAATAAATTTTAAAATATTTTTAATTTTTATAATTTTATTTTTTTTAAAATATAAGGATCAATATTCAAAAAGTTAAAACTTTAAAGACTAAATTGTAAAAAATAAAGTTTAGAGACTGATTTATAATTAAATCAAAACTTCAAGAATTGAGTTGCAACAAGTTAAAACTTAATAATTGGGTTACAATTGTGTTAAAATTATAATAACTAAATAATTAATTTTTTCAAAAAATATTCATAAATGAATTATATATAATATAATAAAACAGTAATAGAGTTGCTTAAATATAAAATTGATATGTTATTATTTTTTATCTTATTATTTTATAGTCAAAATAATGTTTTATACTTAATAGAATTAGTTAAAAATTAAAACTGGTTCCAACAATAGAAAAGAAAATATTTTTAAAAAGTTTAGAATATTTAGACAAGTTAAATAAGCACGAAGCTGAAAAGTATTAAGGTCAAACTTAACTATATAAATTTTTATGCAAAGTATGATACTTTAATCTTGATTTAAATAAATTTTACCGCCTGAGTTACTAACTCTAAGGTTCAAAAGTTGCTCATACAATGATTCAATTTTGTTTTTTCCTTTTAAAATATGGTCTCATAACTATGGTGGTTACCTTTGTGGTGTTGCCTGTGGCTTTTTGGAGTTCGTCAACACGTGAGAGGGACGGGTGAAAGTTCTTTCATAGAATTACACATAAATCCTAAATTATACATTTAAATATTAAAAGGTCGATTAACAATTTAATAATTTTTTAACTCAATTGTCAATAAATTTTATAAATTTAATAATATTGTGTGGGATCTCAAAATAATTCTCCTAAGTTCTTTCTTAATAATTTTGATGTGGGCATTTTGATTTTTTCTTATTTTAAATACATATTTTGTATAAAAATATATCATCATTCTATATCAATAATAAGCTTACTTTTAAATCTAAATATTATTTCATTTCTAATTCAAACTCATATTCTAATGAGAGAATCACATCTAAGGACTTTTTTAAAAAATAAATCGCTTAGAGAAAAATAAGTCACTATTATCATTTTAATAACAAATAATTTCATATTGATTCTCATTTGCGATCAATTTTTCTTGGGAGGTCTTAAATGTGATTCCTTGTGTGGAGGTCTTAAATGTGATTCCTCGTGTTTCAAATTCTTTTAAAAATTGATCAATTATAGTCTAACTCATTTTTTTTTACTTTATAGACGTAACCACTGCTTAGAGTCGCCAGATGTAACACACTAAATTTTTTTTTAAAATAATTTAACTCAACCATAGTTGGGTTACAGCCACCCAACACATTTTTTATATTAATAATTTCAATATAAAATATTTTATAATTGGCTTCAACTCACACAATATAACATTTCAGATAAATTTTTACCTCCCACATGCCACTAGGCTAAATTACATTTGTCCATCCTTATACTCCCAACAAATAAACTAAATCACATTTGTCCATCCTTATACTCCCAACAAGTAAAATAAGCAATTTAGTCAATTTTCAACATAAGCCAGTTATTTGGCCTTATAATCATGCCATTTTAACCAATCCAAAGTATACCAAAAATAGAAATAGTTTGAAAGGCATGATTACATTTATATATTTATATAATTATCAATAAACAAAAAACCCTAATATTGGCAATATAACACATTATAAATCATAAATTAAATACCCCAAAGAGATAGTGGATCTACGCCACTAAGCCTCTGGGACTCCTCCACGTGTCACTCATGGTTCTTCTCCTGAAAATTGTTAACCACATAATGAGACTCAAAAGTCCCAGTAACCAATACCAATTTATAATAGTGTATACAAACAGTTAAGTGTGTGCTTATTAAGTGAGAATTAAAAATAATATAATTCCAACAAATATAAGAAATATTATAATACACACAAATAACCATCCTTATATCCCTCCATTAACCTTGAGTCGTAGCCCTCACTCAGTGCTAAATTACCCGGCCAAAGGTAGATTAGCTCGAGCCCTTACAAACCACCTATTGAGCTCTAATAGGGGCATACCACGTGGCACATAAATACAACAACAATAGCAAGTCCCACAACACTTCCCACAATAATCAAACAAATTCATAATAATATTGCACAATTATACAATATTACAAAATTCATAATTTTCTCAATAATCACCCAATTAACATGAAGTAATACTAATCACAAATTAAAAACACGGTTACCTCATGACTTTTTCAATAAATTATTCCTTACAATTTCTCTCTCACCACAATCTTCACCAGTAATACAATCTACAAATAACATATTATTTATAAATATGAAACTAATAAAATAATTCTAATAATAGAATTAAAAATATAACATAATTCTTAATCTTAATCTTAATACAAATCTCGAATTAATACTATTAATAAAATTTTTAACTCCTCTTTTAATTATCAATAAACATTAATAATCTAAAAATCAACTTCTAAACTAATTTCTATTATCAAATTTTTTTTATTTCATAAATTCGTACCTAAAATACCCAAAAATTAAAAATTGAGTCTCTAGCTTAGAATCATAATCTTATAGCCATAATAATTCATTTCTCATCCTAAATAATCATCTAAACTTCAATAAATCAACATATATTTCAGATCTAGTTTAGAATTTGATCCATAAGCCACAAATTTAAAGATCATCAACAAATTTATACTCTAGAACATTTATTATACTACTGACAACCTCAAAAACCATATTTGTTCAACACAAATTCATCCATCTTCCAGATCTTAAATTTTCTACCACTACAAACTCAGAAACCAAAGAAGAAGGATGACTAAGAAAAATTTTTAGAACACTTACTTAGTCTTGAAAAGCTTAAAATTACACCCTAAATATCCTATTAAAAACTCTTACCTTAAAAATTTAGATATTTCGCACCGGTGACTCGCGTTCTCTTCGCCTTAGCTCGCGCACAGGAAAAGAATTGAAGAAACGAAAGGAAATGGGTGAGTTTTTATAAAAATTTAGTGGGTCCCACATCTTTTTTTTTATTATTTCTTCTTTCCTCTCTCCCCCTTTTTTTATTATTATAAACATAATCATTGCACCAAAAGTGCTCACGTTTTCTTCCTTCTTTCCTTCCTCTTTCTCATACCTTTTCTCTTTCTTTCTTTTTATAATAATAATAATAATTTAATAATATTTTATTTATTTATTTTTGAATTAATTAATTTTTTTAATTTTTTTATTTTAATTTAGAATTATATCGTAAATTAGATTTAATAATCATTTTCTACTAATTTGCTTACCTCTAAATATTTTTCAAAATTTTTATTAACCCAAATTAACTATTAAAATTTAAATTGAGATGTTACATCAGACGGGCTTGATCCTTTTAAGCCCTAAAAAATCTAGGGCCGATCCACCTTTTTGAAGTCTAAAATGATAAATTAGGCTTAAAAAAGTGAATCCTTTTAAACCCAAAAATAAAAGCCGGCTGTTTTAATTTCTCTTACTTTTTTTTTAAAAAAATTAATATAAAAAAAAGAAGTAAAAAAGTGAAAATCCTAGTCCGCGTCTCAGTCCCTCTTAGAGCTCTCATTCACGATTTCACCTTTCATGGATAGAGTCGACCATATGAGTCTATGACTTGTAAGTGGCTGTGACAGTACGATTGCAACCTTGCTCTATCTATCATTTCTTTGTATCTTGCTTTGTCCATCAAGCAGCTCTGGCCGTGGCCAACGGTGGCAACCCTCCTTTCCTTTGTGACTTGTCACTACACCTATGCTCTGCCCCTCATCCTTACTCAAAGTTTGAGTCATGTCCTTCATCCCTCATCCATAGCATATTTGCAGTTATGCTTGATTTGTTGCTCATTGTAGATAATGATAATGAAGAAGGAAGATTTAAAAAGCTAAATATCTTTGCCATTAATGAGGTTCCACAAAAAGAAGGATCAAATTATATTGATCCTGATGATAATGAAACTCATTAAGATTTAGTTAATAATGCTAGCAAAGTTTAATTATTATCAGTGTTGATTTTGTGATATTATTATTTTTAATGAGACTTAAGTTTGTTATTGTGTATATTGTCTTAAACTTATTATGCAAGACTTAATATTATGTGTAATAATTTTTTAAAATTTTAAATATATTTTTTATAATTTTAAATTAAAAAATTAAAACAAAAAATATATAAGTTCAAGACCTTCAGAGCCGGCCCTTTAATCCTAAGGGCCATGGTTGAGGTAGACAGAATGATACTTTAAAATGAAATTAAACTTAATAGGATCAGTTTATTTAAATCCTGACTTTTTAAAAATCGACATTAATTGGCAGCTCTAACACTGCCTAAATGGCAAACACAGATTTCCTGGCCCCAACCGCCCCGTGTCAACGGAAACCAAGATTGAAAGCCTTAACCATGCTTTGCATGATGATGCAAATACTAATGCAATTTCACGCGTCCTTATAGCATAGGACTGTACTATTAGTGATCCCAAAATAATCATTCACATTTCTGAAACCCTGAGCGGCTTACATATTTTCTTCATTTTTGTCCTCTTTTCACATGTTTAATTCGTGTCATTTGCAAACTGAATCCAAGGATTCCGTTTTTCTTTTCTTTTCACCGCCTCCATATCTAACGTATTTCACCGTTACGAGTTGAAAGATCCCCACTAGTGCTTGTCCTTTACTCGTGCTTTGAAATGTCAAATTAAATACAAGTATCCCCACCTACAAATTATATTTTAATTAACAAGCCTCCTTGGTCATCCAGATGCTTCACAAACTAACTCAAAATTCTTAAAGTAATTTGATCTATCCAATAATTATGGATGAGCCAGTTTATACCTATATTTAATATCACGATAAGTCAATAACGATGCGGTGCCGGGGCTGGTGGAGTGGAGTATCTTCTAAGGTCCACAACCTTCTTTTAGGCCTAAATTAGGACTTGTTACAAAAAAATATTTAATAGATATACTTATATTTTAATTTGATGACCATTTGCTTGATTGCTTCCTACCATTTTATTTTATTTTTTTGGCCTGAAATGTATTAATTTTATCCTAACAAATGTAAAACTAACAAATGTTTCTTATTTTCCACGACATAACAAATATAAATGCTTTAAGTTTTAACAACCAAACGAAAGAAACAAGATTCAAGAACATTTCAGGTTGAAAGTCAAAAATTAAAATCATTTCCACTAAATAATCAATAAATTTTATGGATTAAGAAAATAGCAATTGAATTCTTTTTACATCATAAACTAGCCACAATCTCGTGCATTACATGGGTTGGCCAAATAAAAGTAATCAAATTTAGGTAATAATAGTATAATTCATATAAGTATAATCATAATATACGACATGTATTAAGGAAGTAAATGAGATACAACTTATCAAAAGCTTTTGTATTAGGCCCAACAAAAAAAATGTTGAATGAGGAATTCATTGTTCACTACATATCATAGCTCAAAAAAAGGCAAATTGATTTTCATGTTATAAAAAAATATTTATTTTCCACAATATTACACTTCCAATAATATTTACCTAGATACTATAAATTTAAAATTTAACCTGATTAGTATTGAGTTTCAAAAATTTTTTGTCAAAAACGTACATAGAAAAGCCAAGTTCTATTTAACATAAAAAAAAATGTCCCATCATCTCTCTCTTCAGCCAATTTTTTTTTGTCAGATATAGAATTGGCTTCTATCAAGCCAAGTTCTATTTAATTTTAAAAAAATCAAATATATATCTCATCCACTCTTTCTTCAGTCAAGTTCTAATCAATTATTTGAACAAAATCTAAATCATACAATTATTATTCCAACATCATTAACTCTATTAAAGACTAAATAATCAATTGAAGTTCCTAATCAATTGAAATTAAAATATTAATGTCTAATACAAGATTAGACGTTTGGATTAATCAAGTAAATCACCATGAATCTCTAAAATTATTAAATGAGATGTTCTGAGTGATACTAAGTCATTATAAGTAAAAATAATAAAATTGCTCACATATTTTAGGTTATACCATAAGTAACATTAAATTATCATAGATCTCTAAAATTATCAATCAGGATATTATGCATGACATTAAGTTATTATAACATCTCTATTTTTACTCCTCAAATCTAAATAAAAAACTTATAATCATATAAATATTAAAGAAATTGTGTTTATTAAAATACATTAGTAGAGTTTAATTTTTAAGATGTTAAGAAAGGATTATAAAAATTACATAATATGTGTGTGGGGGAAGGGTTTATAGATTATTAATTTTTGAAAAGAAAAGAAGGAAGAAGATTTAAAAAAAAAAAGACGAAAGAGAGAATGGATACTGAAATGTGGGGCCAACTAACTTATTTTATTATTTTCAATCCCATTTCTTCTTCTACACGCATCACTTCCCTTTTTTTTTCTGTCTTCCTCTCACTCGGTGCACAGTGAGAAACTAAGACAGAAAGTGAGCAAAATTTTAAAGATGGGACTCCATAATAGATATCTTGAGTATGATCTCAAGCTTTTTCAAACTATATAAGTCTTTTAAATATTTTTATTAATCACATACTTTCTTTGGTTTTTGATTTCTTAATGATAGAAAACTTAGGTTTTGATATAGTTTGAATTTTTAGAGATTTTAATTGATTATTTAATCTTTAATGGAGTTAATGATGTTGGAATAATGATTGTATGATTTAAATTTTATCCAAATAATTAATTAGAATTTGGCTTAATAGAGAGGGGATGGGATATATATTTAATTTTTTTAAAATTAACTATGTATGTCTTTGACAAAAAATTTTTTGAAACTGAATACTAATCAGGCCAAATTTTAAATTTGTAATATCTAGATAAATATTATTGAAAGTGTAATATTGTGGGAAATAATTTTTTTTTATATAGCATGAAAGTCATTTTGCCTCAAAAAAACTTGCCAAATACTTTTAATTCTTTCAATTTAAACCATGCTTTATTATAAAGACCAGGTAATGTGTAAAAATAGATCGATTGTTTAGTTATTATAAATTATGCAGGGAAGAGTGATTTAGGAAAAGTTGGATCACGGGTTACAGCAAAATGGCTTGGAAAGGCTTGATCATTTTGTTGCGGTTTACAATTCCTTCATAAGTTAAACAATATTGGGAACACTCTGCTCTTGTTACACGAAGCCGCTCCTATACTCCTAAAACAACATTACTCATACATAGGATTTTCCCTTCCCCTTGTAATGATATCCTCATGGAACAGGTCAGTACCGCTACGTATTTAATTTTGACCATAGATGTGGTCAATAGATAAATATCAGTAATGGCGAGCATGTTCTACAAATGGAACTCATGATTGTGAGAATTGTGAAAGGGGGGAGCTATGGAAGAACCCAACTCGGAAGAGTGAGAGCAATCAGCCTTGAGCTCCTTATACCTGGCAAGGTCAAACTGGTGACGTTCCATGAGGCGTTTCTGCTTGGTGCTGAAACGGCTTTGGTAAAAACCTTCAAAAGAGGGTTCGTTGGAGGTTCTGAGGAAGAAGGCGTAGCCAGCCATGAAGTAGAAGGACGTGACATAGAAGCAAATGGGCTCCATCACATCCCATGAAAGCTCCCAGAAAGTGAGCCTCATGAAGACTGCTGTTTGCAACACCAGATAGCCCAGCCCTCCCCACAGCTCACGGCGAACCATGGTGTCAGCTTTTGTGTCTATGGCTTCCTTCTGTTTCTCCAGCTCTTCAAGTTCCTTTCTCGCCGCCTCTGCCTCATATGCCTTCCCTGTTGTATGTGGGAGGAGACGTCGAACGGCTTTTGCTACCTGCATCACAAAATTATAGAGAGTTTGGGTAAAATATATCTCAATCTATATTCTGTTTCTCCCAGTAGGCCAACTAAGACGAAGAGAGGGCAGTGAAAAGAACAACTCTGATTAACCCTCCTTAGCAACCTTGGCTGGTGAAAAAAAAAAAAAAAAAGGTTTACGAAGGTCTGCGTACTCTGATAGGATGAGGGGAAAAGTACAAAATAAGAAAAAGAAACCATCGTCTTTTTTCGGGGGTTGCGTGGATTTTTCTGGATGGGATAAAATTAGGTGAAGAAAAAGAATATGACAACTAACAAGTGTGAAATAAAAAACAAAACAAGTAGGAAACTAAAATTTGGAAACTGACGGAAACTTTAAATTTAGAGGGTGGAAGTAGGACGACGCCCCCAAGGCTTGCCATGGAAAAGAGAAATCATGTTATACAAATTTTCTTTCCCCTTTTATTCAATATTCACATCTCTCGCCACTCACATTCTGTCAGGAATCCAAATTTCCCGTTACCAAGGCAATGACCCACTTGCCCAACACCTAATTAATTTTAATTTAAAAAAACAAAACAAAGAAACATCGCAGAAGAAACTTAATGAATGAACATATTACATGTTTCAGTTTCGCCTCAATTTCAGTCTAAATTTAAAGTTTCCCTCTGTGTTGCCTGAAATGAAAAATAGGGATGCATATTTGAATGGTTTTCCCCCGACATATGAAAGATCTCGTGCGGGCAACAGAGAAAGAAAGAGGTGAGGTGAGATCTACAATAATAAATTTCATGGAATATCATCTCTTCCTCTCCTGCACGAAACCAGTACCGTGCAAGGAAGGATATATAGCCTGTACCAAGTCATACTCACCCTCACTCTTTATCCCAACTAACAAATCCATTCTATTTACTTCTTTTTCGTTTGAGCAAAAAATTATTCTTCTTACTTAAGGTTATTCCTGATGAACTAAATCTATTGTTAATAATGGTCACTCCTCCTTGAAGACCCAATCTTTTTTGGGGACATCCCCATTAATTCATCACCAAGAAAATCTAAGCAAGTAGATGAAATAAAATCTCTGTGATGAACGAAAGAAAATGAGGCAGTTTGGCCACCCTGTACGAGCAGAGGAAGTGATGAGGCGGGATTCACTGAATCTAGCCTTTTCTCTTCCTCCCTTCCCATGAGAGAAATCAGGACTGGGAAATGATAGCCAACACACTTTATTCGACATCACAAATTCATCCTATTTACTGTACTTATTTTCACAAGTCCATTTTATTTACCTCAGGTTATTCCTCATGAATTAGCCTCAACATAGTCACCTACGGCCCCTCCCGCATAACTTCTCTAATATTTTTTTGAAGAAAAATCGTCATTAGATAATTAGTTAATTCCCCAAAAATGCATAACTCATTAGGTAAAGTGAAAGAATTTTTTGTGATGAAAGGAAGAATGAGGGCTTTCTCGGTCCTTGGGAAGCCCTAATTTACCATCTGAAACGTGGAATCCTTTACACGTTTTAGAACTGGCGAAACAACATACTTTCAATTTCCTGTCGAAAAAACAAAAGTCACCGGAAAAACTCATCAGTTTTCGGTAATCTCCAAATGAATGGGTTGAATAATAAATGAAAAGTATGTGAAACATATCTGTGATCTCCATCATGACCCTCTGAAAAAACCCAGAAAACTAACCCAACACTAACAGAACAAGCAACAAAAATAATACGGGGCAGTCGAATACAACTTCCGGGAAAAAAGAAAATAACAAAACAGGAACAGATATTCACCTCTTCTGGCCTCAGAAACACGAGGTCTCCCAATACAACTACAGCAGCAGAATCATCAAGCATCTTAGCCGTTCGTTTGGCTTCATCGTCATCTGAGCAATATTCGGCGCAGATCTGAAGAAACTCCGAATACGGTATGCAGCTCTCTCGGATCTCCCGGAGTTTCGATTTCACCAACTCCAGCCGCGCAGCCTTCAGCAATTTCCTCGCATCCTCAACTGCCAAAGCCGAATTCTCCGGCGGAGGAACCAACCCATCCAATCGAATGCGGTTTCCTGCGATGCTAATAGCCTTGAATTTATCAACAACGCCATCTCCCAGCAATGGCGATCGGTGCTCCGGCCGAAGCGTCGGCAGCCTGTGCAATAAATGACGGAAGATACCTCTGTCTCCAGGATCTGGAGCAATGTCAAGCTTGCCAGGGGTCGGAGGTATTCGAGGCTGAACAGAGGAAGAAGACAAGCGGCCATTGGCAGGAGTTTGAGAGGAGAATTTGGTAAATTTGTTAAGCGTTGAGCAAGGGCTCTCCTGAACGCCATTGATTTACAGAAGAGAAAGAGGTGAAAGGAAAACGAATTCCGCAGCTACAGGATGGTCGAATGGAATTTGAATTGGTTGGAGATAAGGATGGGAGTGGGAGTCGTATTATATAGGTGCCCCATAAAGCTGGAGCATTTCTTCCACGCCCCACTCGAGGGAAAAGAAAAGTTACGACTATGACCACAGACCACATGAGAAACTCGGGCGATAAATTGGGAGTGAAACGCGAAATTCTCGGAACAAGAACGCGGGAATTCAAGCCGCATCCAGTGTCTTGTAATAAAGTTTACAATGGAAGCTGAAATTAATTCAAGTTATCAAGATAAAATGAAATGGAGATTAATTGAGATTTTTTTTTTTGACCTGAAGGTAAATGTTGAGATTTAAATCTTATTCATGTAATTTGAAAAAAAAAACTTAGGAGAATCTAGCCAAAGATGACAGTGAGAAATTAGAGGTTTTCAAAACCAAATAAAACCTGTTATATTAAACTAAACCTAACCAAACGCCCATGCTAGAAAATGTTGATGCAACATCAATGCTCCACAGCAACACTAGATTCCTTTTTTTTTTTATTAATCTAGCTTATTGCAGTTAAATGCTGATTTGCTTGTGATTATGTTTCTTTTTCTGGCTGAAGGATGAATTAATGAAGGAGAATTGACGTCATGTCAACATTGAAAGGGGAGATTGATAAAATTCGAAGTAAAGATCTTCATGTGATGGACCTCATGAAGTAAAGAATAATTTTATACTCTCAATTCTGGTTCTAAATTTTTTTTTCCATATTTATTTGAACTGATTCATTAAAACTAAATCCAATTTAGCGGCTCTAGTTATAAGAATAACTCACGAGTCTTGAGGCTTGAACAGTTGAGCTCTGTTTGAAGGGAAAATGAATAAATCAGGAGGATTACTGTTGGAGGAGGAGGACGAGAAATTGAAGAAAAAAGAGGGATCAGGAGAGAAATGAAGGGTGGCCGTACACGTGGTTGGATGAAGATGAAAGTATAGGTCCACCGTCACTCTGTGAATTCAAAAAGAAAAATGAACAACATATAAATAATAATATATTATTATGGATTGTAGTGGACAAGGAGATTGGGTCGTTCTGGGGGAGGGGGATTCATTCAGCAATTTGCTGTTGCTGACTTTGCCCTTTCAGCGACCCGGTGCAACCATTGGGGTTGGTATTCCAATTAATTTTCTTCATCGCCATTAATTAAAATAAATATTGCAAATTCCCCTGCACTCTTCATACTTCATCATTCAAGATATCAAAATTAATTAATTAGTTCATTAATTAAACTAAGTATTCCAAATTCCCGGTGCATTGTACGTTCATCACGAAAGCGCAAATTGGTTTAAGAATTTCTCAAATACTTTGGATTCCACCTACGCACAACAGTTGAAATCCTAGCTATCAAATAAAGTCCTATTAATTGTATAAAAAATAAAGTCCTATTAACTAATTCGTAGAATAAAAAAAATAAGTTGATTATTTGTAATTATTATGTAAAAGAATTTCTAAAGAATAAAATAATTATACCATTCGATGATTAAAATTTAACATGTAGAGATAAAATGGGGTATGAAAGCATTAAATGAAGGATTGCTTTACAAATGAAATGTGACGAGTAAAGAGCTTTACAAATGAAATGTAATAATCGAAAAGGTTATCTGCATATCTTTTAAAATCTAGAGAATTCTGTTGACATAATTTTAAGTTAAATGGAATTTTCTATACAAAAAAAAAATGAAGTTTTCATGGGACCATGTTATTGTTAACCTGTACTGTGTGAATGAAATATCAAATTAATAAACACCGAAAACATTACATTTGCAAATTTAAAAATATAAAATAAATCAATGTTAAATTTTAAAAGATATTTGCACGTGATCTTAATTAAGTTCAAGAGATAATTTCATGTAATTTAAATTTTCGAAAAATATTGTGGAACTAATATATATCATCCAATCTATCTATCTAATGCATCTCTGAAGCTTGTAAAAAGCCAATTCATTTGAGAATAATAAATGGCTCATCACCCAAGCTTTTACTGATTTAAAAAAAGAAAAAAGAAATGGTTCATCTGAGACTTATGTAATTTTGGTGAAATATTTGAGGCGCGGGTGAGAGTGGTTGCTTGCGTGCAGTTATTACGCGATGATTTGGAGAAAAACACGTACCCATGATGTGTCAAAATTGAAAACACTCAAACTTCATATATAATCAGCGTGGTAGTAGTAGCAACTTGTTGAAGTTCACCAGCTGTATTTTCAATTTTAAAGTAGATATCGTCGACGCACGCGTGTCGCCACATCTTTTTGCTTCGTTGGTCCTTGCTCCTCCACTACTTTGCCTTGCATAAGTATATGAGTAATCAGGATATAATCGTCCAGATTTTAATATTTTATTTTTATATTTTTAATTTATATTTATTGTAAAAAACTTATAAAATTTTAATAAATTTATCTTATCATCAAAAATTTAATATTAATTTTTTTATATTTTTTATAAATTAATTATACAGATATATTTTGAATAATTTGAATTTAAAATTTTGAAATTGAACTTTTTTTTAATTTCTTTAAAGTGTTTCTTATCTTTAAAATATTAGTTTGAAGATAAATTAATTAACATTTTTTAATTTTTTATAACAAATATAAAATAGAAATATTAAAATAAAATTTTAAAATCTAAACAATCTAGATTGCTCATCAAATGCCATAATATTGTCAGCTTTTGTTTAAAAGGTCGGACTGTTTTTAGGAAAAATAGCAGTTTACATCCTAAAACATTAAGTTAATGATAATGAAGTTCTCGAAATTTTTTTTCAATTGATAATTATTTGAAAATGTCCATCCAAATAATTATAAATTCAAGAATTTAAATTATAAATAAATATTTAAATATCAAATATAACTTTTAAATTATAACATGAATGTCTTTCTATAAGAATTGATATTTATAATGTATTGTTTAGAAAATTTTATGAAAGACTTGACTATCATTAATTTAATTATATAAGACTTAACTGTCATTCTCTCCTTTTTTATTAGTTAATGTTGATTCAAAATATAATATATTTTATCCATTACAAATTATAGGATAGTACTTTAAATTATAAGACAATTTAATAAAACTAAAATTTCATTAATAAAACTTTTTTAATATTACCTTTCAAGAGATATTTTTGAGAGTTTATAATTTGGTTTTGAAAAAGTAAGTTAGTAAAAAATTATTATTGTGTTTTATTAATATCTGTAATATTGTTTAAATTATCTTACAATTTGAGATAGAAGGAATATTTTATAAAAACGTTGAGGGTAAAATAACAAATAATTGACCCTTAGATTATAGGTCGAGAAGTATCTAAAATCTTAAACTCATTTTTAATACAAAGTTTCCCTTTAATTTTTAAAAACAACGCAATCTTGCCCTATCAGTAGCTAAAATTAATTTTGACTATTTGCTCATCAGAAAATGATAGAAAATAACATCAAAATTTTAAAAAATAAAAAAATTACAATAAATGAAATAAAAATTAAAGATAGCGACTCAAAAAAATTACATACAAAGACAAAAAAATTATTAACATTTTTTTATTATTTTTTTGGTCAATTAATGGTTAAAATTAATTTTTGCCAATAATAAAGTCTGGTTGTATCATTTTCAAAAATTAAAGAGAAATATTGCATAAAAAAATGAGTTAATGGGCAATCATAGAGCTTAGGGCTCAATTTGTTATTTTACCCAAAAGTTAATAATGTTAAATTTTTATTTTTTTATAAATACATTTTTAATTATATTTTTTATCATTTTAATAATATAAAGCATTTATAACTATTTTTTAAATTTTTGTGAAGCACTGTCATGGGCGTCGTACATTTAGAACTAAAAATAATATTCTTTTTATTTAAAAATATAAAACATTTTTAACCAAATCTCATTTCTTAATTAAATTATTATCTACTTTCAAACTAATCCTATCTTTTTATATTTATCCTTATTAAACATCCTATAATAAAATAAAGTTATTATCAATAGGGGTATTTTTAAAAAAAAAGTAATTATCATACATCAAAAGACTAAAAATGTCTTATATTTTTTAACATCAAACTCCTAAAAAAATATCTTATATTTTTAAACGAAGGAAGTAAAGACTAACTACTTATAATTAGAAACCCAATGAGGCTAAAAATTGGGTATTATAATTTATTTATTTTTTATCAAATCGTGGTTCCTATAACTAAGGACGGCTGGATATAATACTACTTTTATTAAAGTCAAATATATTTTTTATATTAAATATTGTTTGTTAAGCTGAAAACAAATTAAAAAAAAGACATTAAATAAAAGAAAAGATTGTATGGGAGCCAATAATATAACACGTAGATGTTAATCAGCTGCTATTTTCTTACTTGACTCGCTAAACTTGTTCATGGTCATGGTTTAAAATAAGAAATAAGCATGCTGTTGAAGAAGAATTTTTAAATTTATAATTTATAGACAATTCCAATATATAAAAATAACCTCTAAAAAATACACATAACATAAGAAGTGAAGATACTTGCAAAATTTTTGTTCCCTTTCTTTCCTTTTGTTTAATGAAATTTAAAAATTTCTAGTTTCAGATTGTAGCATTCATTGACGAGTAATTAACCTTCTAAATTACATGGACTAAGTTTATTAGACTTAAGAGTTTAAGTAAACTCATGACAGAAATGTAAAATTAAAATGTAAACTTAGATCGTTAACTTTTGAGTTTAATTGAGTTTTATTTAATTTAAATTTATAAACGAATTAACATAATTTTGTAAATTAAAAATATAAAAGTGATAAATTAAAAAAGTTAACTCAAGTGTTTAACAATAATGATATGACCTATTCATGTGCACACAATTCATGTTATTTCCTAAACATTTTGCCTCTTTATTTGATAGCTATGAATATTAGTAACAAGTTAATCAACTCTTTAAAATCACATAACGTAAGGAAGTTAAGATTTTTTTTTTTGGAGTTAAAAAAGAAGAAGACCCAATTACAAATTCAAATCTAGCTAATGCCTAAAGAATCATATTACAAGAGCTTCCTCAAATCATTCCGTGGATGATCCAAGCCATGTACACCCATGTCCATAGCAATAGCAAAAGAAGTCAAGAAGTTAGGACATTTATTTCCTCACAATAGATGTAATTAATCTTGACTTGCCACCTTCTACGCAGCAGATGATAGATATGCCAAATCAGTTTGCTATTAGCACTCATAGAAGTTCAATCTTGTGACATGATAAATGATAATTTTATATATTTTTATTCTTTTAATTTAGACTTTTAAATATTTATTTGAAGCTAATAGAGTTTAATTAGATATTATTTAATTATATTAGCCAATATTCAGTTTTAGAATTTTAACTAACTAAATCTTTGATTTTAAAATATAAATAATATCTTTAATATTTTTGCACAGGTGCTATTTAACTTTATTTTATTTGTGCAGATTTTTTAAATTCAATTTGAAGATATTGATAGAGAATATATTGGATAAGAAGAATATGAACATACTTGGAGATCAAATCAAAAATCAAATCTTTAAAATTTTATTTGAATTTATTTTGGATTATTTAGTGTAATTTTTAATTAGGGCTATTTAAGGTAGTTTTATCTTTTTAATAAATTATTAGTTTTTATTATAAAAGAAAGAAAGAGAGACGTAGGGGAGACGGTCCACTTTTCATATATATATATATATATATGAATAAACAGGAGACGCACAAAGGAAGCACGATCTAGGAAAAAAAATGAAAGAAGGGAAACAGAGCAGCGATCGCCGTTCGTCTTTCCTTTCTCCAATTTCTTGGGTGATGGCTTCTCAATTTCTCATTTTATGTTGTTTGATTTTTAATTCTATGGAAAGCTAATTTTTTGTTAGTGTGATCAATCACAAATCATGATCTTAAATTTTAATCAGAGTCTTTGATATTTAAGGAAGAATTTATTTTAACTTTATTTCAATTTACTCTTTCTCTCTCTACCTCTGAATTTTATGTTCTAATTGCTATTACTGATTAGAGTAGCTTTATTGCATAATTTTTGAGTTATAAATTTTATTTGAGGTTTTACTTGCTATAATCAATTGATATTGCATTATAAGAGTAATATGGCCTAGCTTGGATGATTATCCATGCTTTGTTTCTGGTATGGCTAACATAGAACAGTTGTTAGGTTGTAGGTTAAAGGAGATCTCAATTAATCTATAACTTAATTTCTTGTTTAATTCTTGAATGATAATTTGAGAAATATATAATAAAACTAGAATAATAAAGTTGAATAAAATTAATTTATTTTGTAGACGAGGAAGATTAAATTTAGGTGATTGGATTGTGATTGATTGCACTGCTTGTTCTTGATAATTTTCTCAATTGAATTTTCTTTATTTATCTAATTTTAATTTAGATTTTTTTAATTTCATTATAAAACCCCCCATTTTTTAGCTTTTCATAATCATAATTCAAATAGTTACTCTATTGACTCTTAGAAGACGACCTAGGTTGCGCTTTACTGTAAAATCTAGTTTTTATTAATTTTGGTGCTATTCGACAGTAGTGTCAAAATTTTGGCGCCGTTACCGGGGAGTCAAAGGTGTTAACTTTTTGAGTTTGGTTATTAGTTTTTTTTTCTTTCTTTCTCATTATTTTTATCATTTTTATTTTTTTTAGTATTTTTTATTTTTTTCAAGATTTATTATTTTTTTCTTTACTTGTTTTAGGTGTTTTTCATTGTTTTTCCAGTTTATTAGTGCATGACAAGATCTTTGCAAGATAAATTAATTAATTTGAATTCTGAAATTGAGAGAACTTGTCGTAATAACCGTAAGAATCAAAAGCACCATAAAATTAGGGATAGTATTATTTCTGAAATTTTATCTGAATTGATTGATAGTGTTATTAGTAATTCTGAATCTGACTTAGACTCTACAGTTAAGTTGGAAAACATGGCTGAAAATAATAATGGTAATAGGACAATTAAAGAATTAGCTGCGCCTAATGCACACTATCAAAATTTGTGCATTCAATATGCTAATTTAGATGCAAATGCTAGTTTTGAATTGAAATCTGGTTTAGTACATTTGCTACCTAAATTTCATGGTCTTGCAGGAGAGGACCCGAATAGGCACTTGAAGGAATTTCATATTGTGTGCTCCATCATGAAGCCTCAAGGAGTTTCAGAAGAGCAAATCAAATTGAGGGCTTTTCCTTTTTCATTGGATGGAGTGGCAAAAGATTGGTTGTATTACTTATAACCAGGTGGCATTACCTCTTGGGATCAAATGACACAGTTATTCTTGGAAAAATTCTTCCCTGCCTCTCGCACATCAGCAATAAAAAAAGATATTTGTAGGATTCGTCAGATGACTGGGGAGACATTTCATGAATATTGGGAAAGATTTAAGAAATTATGTGCCAGCTGCCCTCACCATCAAATACCTGATCAGCAGCTAGTTCAACATTTTTATGAAGGTCTTTTACCAATAGATAGGTGGTTTGTCGATGCCGTAGCTGGTGGTGCTTTGGTAGAACTTACTCCAACTGATGCCATGAATCTCATTTCTAAGATGGCACAAAATTCTCAACAATTTGGGATGCAAGCTAACCAAGCAGTCAAAGGGGTGAATGAGATTCAAACACCACAATATGATCCTAAATTTGAGAACAAGATGGAGGAGCTCTCTAGCATGGTTCGGCACATTGCCTTAACACAACAAAAATTAATGAATTCACCAGCAGTGCCAACTTTTCCACAGGCATATCCCTCACAGACGTGTGCACAACCTCAATTTTATAATCCTCAACAAGCTACCACATTTTTTGCTTTAGTTGGGCCTCTATGTGGCATCTGTTTTTTGGCCACACACACTACTGATCATTGCCCACAGTTAGATGATAGAGTTGAGAATTGTGCTGGGATTTTTCCAACTAGACCTATGCAATAGGGCCAAAAATATGATCCTTTTTCTAACACTTATAATCCTGGATGGAGAGATCACCCTAATTTCAGATATGGAGGAAGTCAACAACACCAATATAATGCTACAGGTCAAAATTCACAGCCTATGCAAGCAATGAGGCAATCTACTCCTATTCAAGGGTCTAAAAATGATGGACCAAGTCTGGAAGAATTAATGAAGCAAATGGCAACTAACAACATTCAATTTCAACAATGCACTGAGACAGTAATCCAAAAATTGGAGAATCAAATTGGGCAATTGTCCACCTCCATTAATGAATTGAAGAGTCAAGGTTCTGGAAAGTTGCCGTCTCAAACAGTTGTAAATCCTAATTGCAGTAATGTTAGTGCCATCACTCTTAAAAGTGGAAAGGAGCTTCCAGAGCCCTCCATAACATCTATCAAGAATAAGTAGCTGCAGCAACACAAGTCACACTTGAGGAGTCTAATAAAGAAAAGGAACCAAAGAAGATCCTTTCATTTCCAAATAGGGACACTCAAAGTAAGAAGTTAAAGGAAGCTAAATTGGAGAAAGAAGTGCTTGATGTTTTCAAGAAGGTTGAAGTCAATATTTCCCTTTTGGAGGCAGTAAAGCAAATTCCTAAATATGCAAAGTTCTTGAAAGACCTATGCACGAACAAGAAAAGATTTAAAGCTAATGAGAAGGTTAATCTAGGAAGAAGTGTATCAGCTTTATTTCATGGAGGAATGCAGTGCCAACCCCCTATGCCCTTAAAATGCAAAGACCCAGGGAGTTTCACTATACCTTGTACTATAGGAAATTTAAAATTTTATAACACTCTGATTGATCTTGGTGCAGCGATAAATGTTATGCCCAAGTCTCTATTTTCTTCTTTACAGGGTTGTGAGATGAAGCCAGTCGGGATTATTGTGCAATTAGCAGACAGGAGACTTGCCTATCCTAATGGTATGCTTGAAGACATTCTAGTTAAGGTAAAGGATTTAGTTTTTCCTGCTGATTTTATATTTTGGATAAGGGTAAAGATGATAGTCATGGGCCACCAACACTGATTTTGGGTAGGCCATTTCTTAAGATAGCTAATACTATCATTAATGTTAAAGATAGTACTCTTTCCATGGAATTTGCAGGACGTGTTGTTCAATTTAATCTTTTAAAGGCTATGAAACATCCTATAGAGGATCATTCTGTTATTAATCTGAGCATGCTTGATATGTTAATTGATGATACATATGATGAGCTTTACAATGAGATGGTTTCTAGTTCTCTTGAGATTGTTGATTTAGATAGCAATACACATTGTTCTGACTCTATTATTTATGAAGATTCTTCTGACTGTTCTAGTTCTGATGATATTGTTGAGTTATTCAAATCCATGCATGATATTGGCATTGAAACTTCTAGTGACTCTGATATGATTGCTTCTGACTCTGAAAGAACTATGGACTTTGCTAGAAACTCTATGTCATGTAATTCCATTAATAATGATAATTCTAGTATTCTAGAACAAGATACTGCTGCTTCTTTTGATGTAATGCAGGTTTGTGGAGTTGCTAAACTCACTATTGACAAGCTAGTACCCTCTATTCAGCAGCCACCTATACTTGAATTGAAAGATCTACCAGAACATTTGAAATATGCATTCTTAGATGAAGGTAAGAAATTACCGATTATTATAGCAAGGGATTCTGATCCTAGTCAAGAGGCAAAATTGTTGGAGGTACTGAGAAAGCACAAGAAAGCTATAGGATGGACACTAGCTGACATTCCAGGCATCAGTCTAGATATATGCATACATAGGATCTTGATGGAAGACAATGCAAAGCCATGTAGGCAACCTCAAAGAAGGCTTAACCCACTTATCTTTGACGTGGTCAAAAAGGAGGTAACAAAACTTCTTTCTGCAGGTATCATTTACCCTATTTCTGACAGCCAGTGGGTGAGTCCAGTACAGGTAGTGCCAAAGAAGAGCGGGATCACAGTTGTAAAGAATGAAAAGAACGAGTTGATTCCTATAAGAGTGCAAAATAGCTGGAGGATGTGCGTCGACTACAGGAAGCTAAATGATGCAACCAGGAAGGATCACTTCCCTTTACCTTTTATTGATCAAATGCTAGAGAAATTAGCAGGCAAATCTCACTACTTTTTCTAGATGGTTTTTCAGGTTATTTCCAGATTTGCATAGCTCCAGAGGACCAAGAGAAGACAACATTCACATGTCTGTTTGGCACATTTGCTTATAGGAGGATGCCATTTGGATTATGCAATGCCCCAGCCACAGTCCAGAGATGCATGATGAGTATTTTTGCAGATTTGCTAGACTATTGTATAGAAGTTTTTATGGATGATTTTACTGTATATGGAGATTCATTTGATGAGTGTCTAGTAAATTTAGATAAAGTACTTGAGCGATGTATTAAGAACAATCTTGTATTAAACTTTGAAAAGTGTCATTTCATGGTTAGATAAGGTATTGTATTGGGTCATGTTGTTTCTAAGAGGGGGATAGAAGTTGATAAGGCTAAGGGATTACTTCTTTACCTTATCCTACTAGTGTTAGAGAGGTCCGTTCTTTCCTTGGACATGCAGGATTTTACAGGAGGTTTATACAGGATTTTAGCAAGATAGCCTTACCACTCTCAAGATTGTTGCAGAAAGATGTGGATTTCAAATTTGATAAAGCTTGTAAGCAAGCATTTGATAAGTTAAAGAAGAGATTGACCACTCCACCAATCATTCAATCGCCAAATTGGGATTTACCTTTTGAATTATTATGTGATGCTTCTAATTATGCTCTTGGCGCAATGCTTTCACAAAAAGTTAATAAGAAATCACATGTCATAGCTTATGCTTCCAGAACTTTAGATACAGCCCAAGCCAACTATACTACCACTGAAAAGGAGCTTTTAGCTATTGTTTTTGCATTAGATAAGTTTAGATCATATCTTTTGAATGCAAAAGTTGTTGTGTTTTCTGATCATGCAGCATTAAAGTATCTCTTAAGGAAGCCAAATGCAAAGCCACAATTAGTCAGATGGATGCTCTTGCTACAGGAGTTTAACTTAGAGATAAAGGATAAGAGTGGAGCTGAGAATTCTGTCGCAGACCATTTGAGTCGCATTGAATCTCCTATGGTTCCTTCTATTCCTATTGATGATAATTTTCCTGATGAATGCTTATATGCTATGCATGATGTTACTCCTTGGTATGCTGACTTAGTTAATTACTTAGTTGCCTCAGCATTGCCTGTGCATTTAAAAAAACATCAATTAGATAAGTTTAAGAGGGAAGCTAGATATTACATTTGGGATGATCCATACCTTTGGCGCATATGTAGTGACCAGATTATTAGGAGATGTATTCTTAACATTGAGTTTGAATCCATATTGCATTTTTGTCACACACTTGCTTGTGGAGGACACTTTGGTCCACAACGCACTGCTAGAAAGGTTCTTGATTCTGGATTGTACTGGCCTACTCTATTTCATGATGCATATACATTTTGTAAGCATTGTGCTAGATGTCAGCATACAAGAAATATCTCCCGTAGAAATGAGATGCCTCAACAACCTTTACTTTTCTGTGAAATATTTGATGTATGGGGTATTGATTTCATGGGACCTTTTCCTGTTTCATTTGGATTTGCTTACATTTTACTAGCTGTGGATTATGTTTCTAAGTGGGTGGAAGCTAAAGCCACCAAAACTGATGACTCTGTTGCTGTTGTAGATTTTGTTAGGTCACATATCTTTTGCAGGTTTGGTATTCCAAAGGCCATTATCAGTGACCAAGGGACCCATTTTCGTAATCGAAGCATGCAGAGTTTATTGGGTAAGTATGGGGTCGTACATAAGATGGCTACCCCTTATCACCCCAAACTAATGGGCAAGCTGAAGTCTCTAATCGAGAGATAAAGCAGATTCTTGAGAAAACAGTGCAACCTAATAGGAAAGACTGGAGTAAGAGACTTGATGATGCATTGTGGGCATACAAAACTGCCTATAAGATTCCAATCGGAATGTCTCCTTATCGGCTTGTTTTTAGGAAAGCTTGTCACTTACCTGTGGAGATTGAGCATAAAGCTTATTGGGCAGTAAAGCAGTGCAACATGGATTTAACTAAAGCAGGAGCCCAAAGAAAATATCAATTGCAAGAGCTTGAAGAATTTCGCTTGGAAGCATATGAAAATTCAAGAATCTACAAGGAAAAGACCAAGTTAATGCATGATAAGCTGATAGTTAGAAAAGAGTTCAAGGTGGGACAAAAAGTGTTGCTCTATAATGCCAGATTGAAACTTATGCCAAGAAAACTTCGTTCTAGACGGGAAGGTCCTTTTATAATTACTAAAGTGTTTTCTTATGGTGGAGTAGAGATTATGGCAGAATCTACTGGAGCAAAGTTTAAAGTTAACGGGCATCGGTTAAAGCATTTTTATGATGGATTTGAGACACACATTGTGGAGGAGTCTTCCCTCCAAGATAACACTTAATCGATCAGG